CTCTAATTGTCTGATGTATTATATTTATTAATTTGCATAAGTTATTTTTGAATTAATCTAATTTTTATAAATAATATGATGTATTATTATTTTGATTTTTTGTTTTTATACAAACCAGAATTTTTAATCACGAAGAATTCTTTTTGTATTATTTTAATCATAAGTTTTACTTGTTATATTTGGATTGATCTAATTTTTATAAATAATATGATGCATAATTATAATATGATACTTATATTATTATTTTAACTTTTTGTTTTAATACAAATTAGAATTTCAATCAAGATTATATTATTTCAATCATGAGTAAAGAATTTCATAAGATATCAAATCAATGAATAAATTTATTTATAAAGGGAAGTATTTTTTACCATTGTATAATTTTTCACCTTTTGAAATTTAAATCAATCTTTAAATCACTTTAATTTACTCCATTAAATCATATTTTTTACAAATACAAAAATGACTACAAGAATCATTTAAGAGGATAATGAAATTGACTTATTAGTCAAGGAAAGAAGAAGAAGAAATGAAGAGTATCATGTAAGATACAAAGGCAATAAGACAAGGTTCTGAAGGAGTATAGCTTGATAAATCAATTGAAGATTTGATATAGCATATTCAACTCATCAATGCAAGTTTAAATAGAATTTAGTACAGAATTATAACGTAAGTAAATAAATGAATAACAATATAATGATAAATATAACTTAATAGTATAATTAATATCTTTTAAAATTTTTGCAATTATTGAAATAGAGCGAGAAGAGATAGGAGGTAGACCTATACTATGAAAAGATTATATGACCTTTTTAGGACTCAATTTTGTGATAGGTCAGGTAATAATTAAAAATGTTTAAATGATTTTTTAGATTTATATTAAATATATTTACTTTTTTAGAATTGAGACATACTCATAAGAAAAATCATAAGTTGCCTACTACAAGGTAAATATGAAATATAAGGCAAAACTATGATAAGCCTGTAAGGCAAAACTGAAATAAATAGCAAAATTGCAATGTATCTATAAGGCAATAAAAATTTCAGTTTTTTTTCTTATTATTTGTGTTTTTTCATATTGTTCATTTTTTTTTCATATTATATGTTTAATTTCATTTTTTCTTTTTCATTTTTTTTATTTTATTTTATTAATTTTATTTTTTATTTTGTTTTATTTTTTTAATTTTATTTTATAGTTTTTTTTCATTTGTTTAATTTCATTTTTTCATTTTATTTTATTTTCCTAATTTTATTTTATAGTTTTTTTCATTTGTTTAAATTTGTTTTTTTATCTCGTCTTATTCATTTAATTTTATTTTATAATTTCATTTTAGTTTTTTAATTTCATTTTTTCGTCTCATTTAGTTTTCTTTTCATTTTGTTTTTATTTTTTATTTTATTTATTTTATTTTATTTTTTATTTTATTTTTATTTTTATTTTATTTTTTTTTTAAAAAAAATTTAAGTAAATTAATAAAACTATTATTCAACAATTAACAGATTATATGTAAAAATAAAATAACTAGAATTTACAAAATAACGTGAAAATATTTCTGAAAAAATTATATCATAGTAAAATTATATTTATGTAATGAAATCAGTAATCATCTACTATAATGAATAATTCATTATAGCATTAACAAAGATTCTTATAATGAAGTCCTGATTGGCTAGATTGACAATTTCATTATATTGAGATGTAACTATACTTGTTAATGAAATTTTAAATATAATTCCAATAATTTTCATTGACAATAAAATTTGAAATAGTTTAGTAAATTATATTTATAATCAAATTTTTTTATCTACTAAAAAATTTTAACTGATGAATAAATCATAGACATAATATAAAATCATAATAAAAAAGTACTTGATATTAATAATAAAAAGAAACCAATTCTAAAAATTTTACTAAAAGAAATACTTGATGCAATTAAAAAAGTAATTCTTTTTTATGAATAACTACCTATTGATGATAAATTTAAAATGAATTATTTTAAAGTTTTTAGATATTATATTTTAGATTTGAAAAGTATTATATTATATCTTTACTACAAAAGTTAATTAAAGATTATTTTCTTTCTAATTAAAACATTTTAGTATTGTATATATAATTTTTGATTTTAGTAATATATTTAATATAATTATATAATAAATAATATATGTATTAATTAATAAAATTGATATATTATATATTTTTTATAATTTATATTTTATTATTAAAAATTTTTTTTTGTTTATAATTATATCTTATTATAGTCACTAAATATAAGATATTCTAAATGTGTGACTATAATAAGAGTTAACTGTTATTTATAATATTATAAATTTAAAAATAATTAATCAACTTTATATAATTTATAATTTTTTTAAATTAAATTAATTTATTATTATATTATATATAAAATATTATTAATAATTTATATTAACTAATTATATTATAAAAAAAAAAACTTTCTTTTATAAATATAAAATAAATATTAAGTAAAATAATTTAATTAACAAATAAAATTTTATTTTTTATTATTTCTTCAATGATTTTACTTATAAATTTATAAGCAAAATTATTAAAATTATTTAAATATTTTAAAATAATTATCAAAAAATAAATATTTTTATAATAAATTATATAATGATTTTTAAGTAAATAATTAAAAAAAAAATGTAATTAATTAGTGATTTTTAAAGATAAATATATAATAAATTATTATAAAAAAATTAAATCAAAAAATTTATATATCTTGTTATTTATATGATTTTAAAAATATAAAAATAATATTATTTAATAAATTTTAATAAGATGAATCTAATAAAATAAATTTTAATTCAAATTCATATTATATGAATAGACCTAATTTAGTAAAATTTTGGGTGATCACTATATTATATATTTTTAATTCAGAGTTTTATATGATATATTATACAAATTTAATAGCATGAGTAATGTATTAAATTTAGTAGAGAATTATAATCGTACTCTGTCTAGAAAATAAAAAATTGAATAGTTTTCATACTATTCTAATAAATTTATATATGGAGAACAGTAGCATTTCAAAAGAATAGTATAAGAAATACTATACAATTTTAAAACCTATTTATTAAATTTTTTAAAGCCAAAAAAGGTATATAATATTACACTTTCAGTCTTTTATTACTTTCAGAAACTTCTCCATAGTTTTCTGAAGCCTTTCAGCTGCCTTTTTTTTTACCTGTCTAGAATATCTACTTATCCATCCTTTAATTGATTGTACTTTTGGAATTTTACATCTATTTAATTCTCCTTTATTAGCTAATTTAACTAACGTATTATTTATATCTTGTTTAAAGTAATAGTCATTTTTATTTGCATTTTTCGCTAAAAAAATCTCTGTAACAAAAACACTATTTTCTTTGAAATTCATGTACTAATATCTTTATATCCAAATTTTTAGTTTTCTTTAAGCGTTCATCCTAGATGTAAATATGTATTTCTTAAATAATAGTTATAAGTTAATATAATATTAGTAATTTGTATTTTATAAAAATATAATATATTATATTTAGAGTCATAATAACCCGTGAATTTCTAAATCCATTTGTATATCCATAGGCATAATACATGTTTCATTTAAGAATTATGAGGTAACTATTAATTAGTAACATTTAGGCTAAGTAAAAAGTTAGCTTTTTACCAATCTGCTATTAGTAATATCTGATTCTCTTTATTAGTAAAGTGAATTTAAAGTTAGGATGCTAGTTCAATTCAAACTAGTATTTTCTTGATAAGCAATATTTTCATTATTAAGTTTATTTCTTAATATTTGTTTTTTAAGTCAATATAGATCTAATATGATATTGTATTAATAAAAAGCTTATTAATTATCAAAATCAAATAAAATAACATATTTATTATTATTTATTATAGAATTTTTTATTTTTAAATAAAATTATATGTATTATGTAGTATTAAAATAAAAATAATTCAATTATATAAAATAATATATCTAATCCATATAGTTTAGGTATTGTCTATAATGATAATGAAATAGTAAGAGATGATATTTTTGATGTAAGTTTAAAAAACTGTATCAGAGAATAATAAATATATTCTCCAATATTTAGTAGTTGTCATGCTTTTACCAATCCTGTGTGCTTACCATTTTTTGGCTATTACTATTCATATAAATTTAAAATTTTTGCTAATATTTTATTAACTTCTTATTTTATGGTCAAATGTTATTTGTAAAACAGAGATACTACTTAGATTAGCAATAGTAACTTTTATATTTGAATCTTCTTTGAGATCACAACCTATACAAATATATCATTTAATAGCATATGTAATCTGTTATAAAAAGTAGTATTAGTAATTATAATAATAATAATACATATAATTCTTAATCAAAATAAATAAAATTAAATAAATTATTATTTGACATACTGAAGCATAAAAGGAATTAACCATTGTTTTCACTTTTCTTAGTTTTAAAAATATCTAGCTTTTCATATCAATATTATACTAATTATACCAATATATTATAAGCATCATCAATTATAAATTATGATAGTAAGTTTTATTATCTGATATAATTTTTATCCACTTTGATTTCTGTTTCCTTGTTGTAAATACAGCATTAAAGTAATTGAAAGTAAACCATGCATTTTGAGTTCCATCTTCTAATCAGTGATCATACGCTTGAATATCAAGATTACTACTATTACTATTTTAAAATACTAAGATCGTATGTAAAATCCATTCAGATTTTTCAAAAAATTCTTCTTTTATTTTTCATGAACTTTTTTTTAATACAGTAGTGTCCTAAGACATATTAATATATTAATATATTAATATATCTTAGGACACTACTTGTTCAAGACTAATATGTCCTAGGACATATTAATATATTAATATATTAATATGTCTTAGGACACTACTTGTTCAAGACTAATATGTCCTAGGATATTATAATCTAATAATTAATATGTTTTAAGACATTATAATCTATTAATTAATGTTCTAGGACGTTATAATCTATTAATTAATATGTTTTAGGATATTATAATACATATATTAATATGTCCTAAAGATGGGGTCTGTTTCCTCTCTCTGTGACCTATTGGTTAGTAAATATGGATGAGGTACGCGCCTATTTGGTTGCCTTTCTAAATGCCAAAATATGGTAAAAAAATATCATATTGGGTGACGCAGTAGATCTGCGATTAATTTCTGGCTGATCTTTAGAACACATAATCTGATGGATTCAAGTTGGCGTTATAGTAGCGATCTGATAGTGTTATGGAACTATCATAGAGCTGATGTGGAACTGATGGGGAACTAATAAGGAGCCAGAGAATTTCTATTTGTTCGCCAGTTTTATGCCAGCTTGGGTGCCGAATTATTATATCCAAAAATCTGGCCGAAGTTATGGAATAGTGCTGGCCGAAATTAATTGAAATTTACTGCGCCAAAAATTTTGGGTAACGGGCTAGTTGCGGGCTCTTTTCCGTTACCTTACCGTTACATTCAAGGCAGTAGTTTGGAGATGCCCATTTGATTGCTGGATGAGACACAAAGTGCTGAATTTGCAATCCATCTATTTGCTAAAGATGTATCGCAATCCATTCACTCACTTTTTGATTGCCAGTGAGGCACGAAGTGCCGATGTTGTGCTATTCTTGCAATCCTGCCTTCTATGACCTTTTTGATTGCCGAGGATGAGACACAAAATACCGAATTAGTTCAGACTATATGGCTTTCATATCCTTTTTTCGTGTATTCTCCTGAACCTTTTTGCCTTCCTAATCTCTTTTCTGCCTATCACCTAGTGATCCACTCGAGCATAACTTCTTTTTTCTTTCCTATATATAATTCTGCTTGAGTGGGTCACCATTTTTTTGCTTGTTTTTAGCTTTTAGACCCTGTTCCTGTATAGTTACTACTCTGGGATACTTTAGGATACTACCACATCAATTACTTTGGAGTACTACCACATCAATCACTTTGGGATACTACCACTGATCCAATGTTTTGCTAGCAAGCATATTTGCTCAAAATTATATAAAATTTTTATTTTGAACTTTGCTAGTTTCTCTGTTAGTTTATACTAGTTTCTTGCATATATACTATGCTTCTTGTGCAAAAAAATGTCGGGCCTAGCCCTAAAACAATAAATGAAGCAATCAGACTCTTCTCTGGTTTAGTGGACCTTGACTATGAGCCTGGTTATAATGATCATGTATACTTTCAATATTTGTCTAATAATAAAAATGATATCTCTCTTTTAGGAGCCTATCATCCTGAAGAGATTTATTCAAAATATATTATTCGGGTAGCAAGAAAGGGTTTTACGGTAGTCGATCATCCATCTGAAGTTTATGGGTTACCCGATACCCATGAGTGTATTGATAGAAAATTGCCTCTCCGCCTGGTTCTGGATATTGATGCGAGGCAAAAGCCCGATCCCATGAACCCTGAACTTCCTTCCTTAGATAAATATAAAATTTCTCGCGAAGATTTATTATACAGATCTTAATTGCCTGTATTAGTATTTTATATTCTGATTTAAAACATTTTGCAATATTAGATGCTTTTGCCTTAGCCAGTTCGTCTAATTCTAATAAATGTAGCTGACATATCATGTATCTTCATGCTCGTTTTATTGATTATAGAGACCTTAGAAGTTTTGTAAAAAAGGTCGCTAATAAGATCAGAAAGCTATATTCAGAATTTATTGATATAGGACTCTATAAATCCCGCTTCAGCCTTCGACTTCTTGGATCAGCAAAAGAAGATAGAGTTAAAAGACCTGCAATATCTTCAGTTAAGAACGGGTATCGTGAGCTAGAAGATTATTTGGTTCAATATAAATCTGATTATTCTGAAATCTGGCCACAAACCTTTTCTCCTAAAAAGCCAGAAAAAGAGGAGTTCTAACCTATCGAAGATGAAACCACCTTAAGCAAGGGAGCTGGTTTAGTTACCGCAAAATATGAATAGCTTGAGGTTGATAACATTAAGAAGGGATTTGTTAACTTTCAAGCAAAGTCATATAAAGCATGTCCTATTTGCAATATCAAACACGAGAAAGATTAGTTATATGGCTTTCTTCAAAGTAACGACTGTTTTGTACTTAAATGCTATCAACAAAAGCAATATAAATCAGATCATAAAGGATTGGCATTCGGGAAAGCAACTAAATTTTCTGCAAAGCCTAAGCGAGGAATAGTTGAAAGAATAGGCGATGCTATATCCAATCCGCGCCCTCTTATAGAATTATCAGAAATGATGATTAATGTAGAAAAATTAAAGGATGTTCCAGAAGTATATCCCGATTTCTTAGGTATTGAGAAAATAACAACGCTTATTCATTCTCCTCCGGGGACATGGAAAACCACTGCATTAAGAGAGATTATTATGGCATTGAAAGATAAAGTACATGATATTTCTTCTTTACCATGCTATATCTGGATCTCTTACTAAAAGTCTCTTAGTAATGAATCGAAATCCAAACTTAATGAGTTAAAAGCATCTGGCTTCCAAATTTGCAACTACCAAAATATGCAAGGAGACTTATCTATAAATGAGTGGGATATTATCATAGTACAGGTTGAGAGCCTCTTTCGTGTCAAATTCACAGACCGTCCGTTTGTAGCTATTCTTGATGAAGCTAATGCCATTATGCGCTAAATGTTTAGTGATACAAATGCACGGGAATCTGAAAATGCAATGCGTGATATCTTAAGATCTGCAAGACATGTTTTGGCCATGGATGCCTTCGCAAATATCTCAACATTAACCTTTCTCCAGATGTATTATGGTGAAAACATTTGGATAGTCGATAATAAGTATCAGCCTCGTATAGGTGAGACAGTTGAATTTATTTATAATCCAAATAGTGGAGTAGAAGCCATGCGAATAGGATATGACCTTTTGAGGCAGGGTAAACGTGTGGCATTTGTATCTACTGGAGCAGTGATGGCTAGAGCATTAGTAGAAAAAGCATCTAAGTTATCTAAACCTGATAATTTGCCTATTAGAGCCCGTGCATATTATGGGGATATGGATGGGAAACAGCGACAAAAAGACTTTTCTGATATTAATGTCGCTTGAAGCGAGCTTGACTGTATAGCTTATACAAATACAGTGGAGGCGGGAATATCATTCGAGGTTACAGGCCACTTCGATATAGTTATAGCTATTACAAATATCGCCACTCCAGTTCATATTGAGGCTCTTGCACAAATGCTTTATCGAATTCGTGACTGTCCTTGTCGTATTGATTTCCTATTCTATCAGAAAAATTCTAATGAGCTTTTTTGCCCACCAGGTCGTGAAAATATTTGGGCAGAACTTGCTAGTGCTCGGCCTAATAACTTACCTATAGCAATAAAGGGTCATCATGAATGGGATAACAATATCGTT